TTTAAATCCCTGTTTAAGGAATTTCTGTGTAACAAGCAACGCGACGTATCAAGCCCTTCGGAGAATAACATACGCAAATCTTCGTCTTCATCTTCCATGGCCGGCCGCTTCTCCTTTCGGGTCGCGGAGGCAGACTCGTCACAGACCTTCCAACGTTCCCGATCCTGTGCCAGAGTCTGAGCTTCGGCAGGAGATAAATGGAATCTGGAACAGACTCCTTTCATATATTTGCACCAGGTTAACCTTTACCGTCCCCTGGGCCTTCTGCCAGTCGGTTTCGTAGGAAACAGTTGTTTAGTCTTCCTTTCTGGAGGCATTCGCAACACGTGCCCAGATTATCGTAGCTGTGACTTCTGAATCTGGAGAAGCAAAGGCTGTAAACCAAGGTTCTCCCAGATGTCAATGTTCCCGACCATGTCAAGAAGCGTAAGGCCAGCGACTCGTGTAAGAAAGCCCATTTCAGCAGCTTGTACCCGGAATCGAAGTTTTTCAGTGATGGTCCATGATTCATGACCGTAGGTAAGTATGGAGATAAAGATCGACTTGAACATTGAGAGCTGACTGAGCTCTGCTTTAGTCACAATGGATCAGACTGGTTGACGCAGAATGCCACTGGCTACTCCAATTCGCCGGTCGATCTCTTCCTCAGATTTTCCATCACTGGTAGATACGATCGTACGAAAATTTTCAAATTTTGAACTAAAATTAGTTGGAGTTGTGTGGACATTTAATCGTTTCTGTCAGTACTGCTTGTGGGTTCCTTTCACTTCACTTTCTTGATACAGGTAAAATTACGCTCTTGTTAATTACTTTTATTTCAGATCTCGTCTGCTGTTCCTGGAGTCTCTGTTACATGCACCAAGGAAAGGTGCCAATATGATTCTTGTCACAGTGTGCCCACTTCTAGCGAGGATGCTGTGTTTTTTGATGCGTTAGCGTCGACACCCATTGGAAGCGTGACGGAATCCAGTTCCTCTGATTTTTCTGACATGTACTGTACGCCTCAGTAACGCGTCGGCTGCCGTATCATTTCCTCCAAATTGTGCTTTAATTTCTTGACTGTGAGCTTGGCGCGATGGCTTTGTCTTCCATGGATAGTTGCCTGCAACGCGCTTTTGACGATTTGCCTGCTTTTTTTAACACCCGTTTGCCTTCTACCTTTCAGTCAGTGGCTTACTTCGTTTACTTGCAGGTCAGTGTTTTTCAGGAACGACACACTATTGTGACTGAGTGTGTTTATCATTGTACCATCGCAGAGCGACAGCTGTTTGCCGAAGGGCTTGACTACTGACTACTGACACTGTTCCTTCAATTCTTGTAATCAGATGATCAATCGACGTCATGCACACTCTTCCTGCGTTTTGTTTTCAAGCTGCTAGTCCAGTTGCAGGCTTCCATTTACTTTGCCGCATTGGCGTTTCATTGTCATATGTTTCAAATTTTGGCGTTGTTTGATTTTTACGGCCTTATTTTTGTTTTATTTTATAGCTGGTAGGCTTTTTCTAGATCGATCGATCGTTGTATCATTTTATTGACTTTCTGCCATTTTGCGACGCGCCATCTGCATATCAAGAGAATGAAAATGTTTTGATCATTCTTAAGTGTGCCTCCGTCTTAAGTTGTATGCAACTCTAGCTCGTCGGTTGGAGTTGCAAACCATTTAAATTTCAGGTTTGGTAAAGTAGTATTACCTGAATCTACGTCACCAGGTTCACAACCGAAACTTCTTGTCACTGGTACCAGTGTATGTGAATGTATAAATCTTTACAGCACGAAACTTGAGCTTGAGACAGAGACCTTGTTGTTGCTAACGGTAAATCATGGTAAACTTACTGGATAATACGTTACGTTTAAAACAAATAAAGTGTCGTTTTAATTTTAAATATGCCATTATAGAGCAGAACCGACGCAATTTATAGCCCCTTCCTTGTATATGGTTTCAGCCTTGCATGTGAAGCACAGTAGGTTGATTATATTTCGCCTGTATGTTTAAAATCTGCCGACTCTGCTTCGTGAAACGAACGATTTCAATATAAAGATATGCACGCTCTTATTCGCGGCGTTTACCAGGTTTTGGTCGTCAAAATGTCGCAGAGTTTTATTTTTTCCATTTCCTGATATCGTCCACCAACTAATATTCTGATTTTCTGTTCTTTCTGGCCATGGTTATCATTTTCTGTAAGGAGGTAGATGACGTAATGAAATTTTTCATTGACTGCTTCTGAGGTTAATGCATGTAGTGAACCGTTTATCCTGTGGTTCTGGTTAGTAATCGGTTTTCCTCACCGACTTGAAACGCACGAAGAGCTCAAACATATGCCAGTGATTTGAATGATTTATTCTTGTTTCTTCTCCGATCTTACAGGGCGAAACAACATTCAAGTTTTTAGAAGTCTACTCCTCGACTTTCATGGAAGGTTCCCTCAGTCAGAGACGGTGTGAATACGCCGTGCAAACCCGCAGTAGCGACGTGTAAGAGAATTGTTGCAAAGTCGATGAAATACACTGGTTGCCTCAATAAATGGTTAATAATTTTATTTTCAGAAGGTGTTTAGAATGCCAGAGCATGCTTCTTACACTAGTAGTGAAACAATGATTTATTTCGATCTGCATCACAGGTACTGTAAACTGTACATCTATGTTCAGTAAAGACGCGGAAGCGTAAGCGCTAAGACAGTACTCCGTTAGCAGTTAAAGTTTCTTCGTACCTTACATCGTCTTTATGCTTCTGATTACCACATAAAATGTTTTGTCTTAATTTCAGTGGGAATAACTGAATGAAATGTTAACTGCCTACCGAATCCGTTAAAAGATAATGTTTGTGTCACCATTCTAAGGCATTTTATGAAAGTTCGATGAGATTACCACGTGCATTCTTCACTTTGTTGACTAATTCAGCCAGTACTGTCATATAAGCAGTCATTCGTGGAATGTTTTGCGGATAAGTGACTATGAAGAATCCGTCTTACTGCTGGTACATTTGGCAAAGTGCTGGCCCGAAAACAGATCTTCACAGGTGATGTAGAGTGCCTTTTACACCCAGATACCATGACCTTTTACGAGGTTAAGTACCGTATTTTTCAATCGATAACGCGCGCGTTATCTATAAAAAATGGTCTATTCAGCGTAAAAAGTAACGTTGTGCGTTATGCAATGAAAAGCGAAATAATTTTGGCCAACACTCGAGGACGAACGAACAAATTGTTTTTTTTTTCATAAATCTG